GACTTGCTCGTCGGAGGGTTCACTGGGGGACTACCCCGTTCCCCGTTGAACTTGTTTGCAGGTTATCCGGTGGGCTTGATCATTTGGACCTGGGCTTGAGGAGCTTGGACCAGTCCGATCCATTCACTGGGACAAACTGTATCATCATAAATCATTAATAAAAAATAAAAAATTATTTATTTGATAACTCTAGTAACACAATTGTCATATTTTTTCAAAAACAAATAAATGATGATAATTATAATTTTGATAATAAAATACAAAATATGATTAATTTGATTTTTTTAGTAAGTAATCCCCACGCACAAATCTAAAAAGATGAACAGTAGTGATTATCAAAGTTAGTCACGTGAATTATTAAACTGGATATAATTCAGACTCGAAAGTACACATCTATCAAAATAAAACAAAAAAAAATACTTCCCACAACACTATTTGCTCGTGAACAAAATCTAATAATGTATTAGTTTTGATAGCTATTAGGGCTTTGTAGGAGAAGATTTTTGAAGAAATTGTCTTATTATTCATGCACATGACAAGGCTTTAATCATGTGAATGTGGTTTCTCTGTATGGTCCCTCAACTGAGAGGGTCTAGGACCCAAAATTTTGTGCCCGTGACAGACTAGTGCTGGGCCCATCCCGTGTGTACCATAGATAAGCACCTATATTATTAATAATCTTGACCTTTTATTTCTTTCCTCTTTCATTCCAAATAACATTCATGCACAATGATCAAAGAATGGAAAGGGTTAGGGTAGATGAGTTCTTTACCAAACTCGAGTTTTTTTTTTTAAATATGCAAAAAATTAAATGCAAGATTTTTGAATTTATTTAATTCAACTGAATTTTTACTTTCACTAGAAAGCTATTTTTTTAAATATCTTTTAAAAAACAAAAATGGATTTTCAAAGCACGACTTTAATTAACTTAATACAAAACTTAGAACATGGTTTTTGTACTTGAAATCATGTTTTTAAAAAAACACAGCTTTAATAAACAACCAAAATTGGATAAACAAGTTGAAAACTATCTAAACTAGGAAAATAAAATCTCAAACAAGTCAAGTTTGTTTTAGATAAAATAATAAATTACACTTTTCACCGAACAATTTTTTTCGTAATTTTACTTTGATTCCTCACATTTCTAATTGCAACAATTAAATTCTCAAGTTCAGCATGTGTTTCAACATGAACCTTATATAACCACCAACTTTTAAAATTCAAGTGAAAGTTAACAACAATGATTTAGACCACTAAAAAATACATCACTAATAGCACTAATACATTGGAAATGACAAAAAAAATAATAAAAAAATAAAAACAAGACATAGAAAGTGGGTGAGGCCCACTACCACATCATTAGTGCTCCCTTTAGTGATCCCCTTTTAGTGCTCCCAAGCATTTTTCGAAAGTTAAAATGTGAAATTTAAAAGGTGATGACAATTATAAGGTCTCGTTTGGTAACCTTCAATTTTAGTCAAAAAGTCACCACAAATTGTCACATTTTTTTTGTACATCTTTTTGTAAAAAATTAAAAAAATATTAATAATCTGTTTCCAAACGAGGCCTAAGTTGCCTTATAATTTTGTTTATATGCTTTCCTCCAAAACATGCTCATGCGGCTCTCACATGAACAATTTCCTTGTAAATTTTTAATGTTAAGAATGGAGGAAGGACTTGATATATGTATTCAAATCCAAATAACTTTTGCAATTAAAAAGTAACTATAAAATAGACTATAGTGAAATTATGACAAAAGTTGAAAGGTAAAAAATGTGATTTACCGATAAAATTAGTGTTGATATTTTCATAGAGAACATTGAATGCTTTTGTATTGTGTTTCTCAAAGTATCTCCAATAACTTTTCAAAAGCTTTTTTTTTTTTAGTAGTTATTTTAAAGAGCTCACTACAAAAATATTATGAATAAAAAAATGTGAAAATTTGAGTTAGAAATAAATAGAAAAATATATTAAAAAATAGAAAAAGCTAGGAAGCATAGTTAGAGTAGTTTCAAAAGGCCAAATAACGGTGTCTTTTGGGTCTAGACCTTAGTCTTAAATAAATGCTATACAATAGAGTCATTTAATTGGACTCGGGTGCTGCTGTAGCAGTGATCTACTGTGAGTTTGTGGACACTTTTTTGAGTTTTTTTCAATGATCTGAACCGTTATATTGTAGAGTTCGTCAAGTATATCATTCATGCAAAAAATTAAATTAATCAAAAATTTGTAACCCCGTGATTAGATTCAAATTGTTTACAAAAATTATCAAGATAATGTCAACCGTTTATTTTTTCAAAAACAAATGTATTATAGATTTCCAATCAATTTGATTTTTTGTATGAATGATCTATTCAACAAATCTTACAATATGAACGATTCAATTCATCAAAAAAGACTTAGAAAAAACCTTATGACTCACAGCAGATTGCTGGCACCCCCGGGTTCCATTTAATCATGTAATAATAAATTGATATTCACTTTGTAGCTAAAATTTACCGTAGCTTTCTAGTTAGAGTAGGTTCATTAGAAGGTGAGGTAACTTCCCAAATAAGAAGCTCACTTTCTAGCTAAAATTTAGAGAAGGATTATGGAACCTTGTTGGATTGGAGTAGCTCTCAAGCAGCTCATTGGCAAGAGAGCCCAAGAGAGAGAGACTAATCAGCAAAATATAGTTGAGTTAGGTCCTTTTCTTGACAGCCTCACAAAGGCTGTGGCACAACAATTTGGCTTTTCCAACAAACCAAAAACAAAAGACAGCAATCCAATCAAAAATAAATGTCCATCCAGAGCTGCAACGTCATTTACAGGGCCCACCACACAAGTTTTGTGGAGCCCATAAACGAATCCTAGCTGTAGCTTGGAAATTTCACTCTCTCCTCCCTGGTAATGTATGTGTTGTCGTGTTCTATGAATTGAATTGAGTACGACGGGGAATGACACTAGACAAACAGAGAAATTTACCAAACAAAACATACCCAAAAGTCCACTGATTAGGGAGGAGGTGTGCGCGGTGTGATTCGAATGGTTTAAGAATAAAATTATAAATTAAATGATGGATTAATAGATTAATAGATTGATAAATTACGATTTGAGCAGTTTTTGACGGATTGACAAATTAAATAATATTTTAATTAATTATTATATATTTGCATAATATATAACACTAATTTATATATATATATATATAAAACATAAAATAATTTTACAAAATATGTTTCATATTATATAACTATTAATTTATAATAAATTTCATATCTTAAATTTATGTCACACTCATTTTTACTTTGATATTTCATTAGAGGTTAAAAAATATATATATATTAACTATAGTGGAGCAGAATGGTTTGGAAGGCGAATTATGAATTTTAAAATTTAAACCGCGATTAATGATTAAAACGGTGTGAATTAATACGAATCGATACGATTTTAACAAATTGAATAATATTTTGTACAACCGTAGATGAGAGGGTCTAGAGCTCATATGATGGTCATCGTCATCAGTCCTGACAAGTCAACATACCAACTGCAGTGCATGTTCATGAACTTGAACACAAGGTGTCAGGATATGATCGAATCATTCAAAGAAAAAATTTGAAAAAATTACTCTGGTTATCTTGGTTGTCCAAGCAAAAGACACTGATAAGAGGGCGGGATAGGACTACCTTATTTCGGAATAAGATTATCTTGTATTTGACCTGTTCATTTGTTCCCACGAGAACTTATACAAGATAAAGATTTCGTCACAAAATAACTAAAATACTCTCTTCCAAATAACTTATCCCGGCATTTAGTATTTACAAACCAAACACATGCAAGAGTGTGAAACCAAATTCATCAATAAGATGTTGACCTTCAAAAGAAGGAAAAAAAAAAAAAGAAGGATTTTCTAGAAAGACAAACATGTTAATTGGTTAGATCTGTTGTCATTTGAAGCCAAAATCTTTCCAATTAACCATAGTTTTATTCTTGCCTAAAAAAATTGTAAAGTAGCCACAAAATATTGGAATTGGGGATGCTATTACACGGGTTGTGCAACAGCAATTGTTATGCACCGAAATAGGTCTATTTTGGGATTCATTTCAATAATCCGAACCGTTCATATTTTGAAATACATTAAGTAGAACATTCCTGAAAAAAGTCAAATTAATCGGATATCATTTATCTATTCATCCACTCACATTTTTATTTATTTTAATACTTTAAATCACAATTATTTTTTATTTTTGTAGATACAAATGTGAGTGGATAAATGGGTAAACGATATCCGATTAACTTGATTTTTTGCAGACATGTTCTACTTAATGTATTCTAAAATATGAACAATTTGGATTATCGAAATGGGCCCATTTCGCTGCACAGCAGTTGCTGCTGCGCAACCCACATCCCCTTTTTCCAAAATATTTTATGATATTATTTATATAGTGCTACCAACAATTAAGAAACCGCAAAGCATAATAGATGAGTCATCTCTTGTCATTACATTAACTTAACAATCAATGATCAACATTGTCATATCCATAAAAAAAAAATTACTACATTAATTGGAAACACCAAGTAAAAATATCATTGTACTTTGAAACAATGGAATAATTACAATCTTTGCCACAAAAAAAAAAAAAAAAACTAGGGATGGACCACAATAAACTGCAAGTGATTAACTATCTAAGCCCTATAAAAAAAAAAAAAAAAAAAGTCCTAGGCAAGCTTTATTTATGGGTTTTAATTTGTTGATGAGTTTTAATCCCTATCCCTATCAATATGTTGATGGGTTTTAATTTTCATTATTTTTGTTTCCAAAAACACAGTATTGCTCCATTCAAGGCATATAATCAGGATCACAACAGACAAACGTATAAAATAAACTATAGTCAACTTGCAGCTCAAAAGAAAATCTTATGATGTGCTCAGTATAAAATTGCCTATTCTGTAGACAATATAATAGTTCATCTTGAGTTTTTCATTATTGTTATTATTATTATTATTATCAAACCCATGCTCTACTTTAAAACAAATTTTGTAAATTCAATCAATTTTGCACTTATTTTCCAAACGCATGTTTTGTGAACTCAAATTTACAGAACAAAACTTCAATTAACTTATAGAAAAAAATTTAAAAGTCTTGTTCATGAAGTTGTGTTTGAGAAAATTTCTTCAAAAACATCGGTTTGACAAAGCAACTCACTACGGGGAATTAAATTTTGTAATAAATCATGTCGGTAAAAAACTCAATTAAGTTTATGAACACACAAACTAAAATATAAAATCAGATATAGAAAATACATAAAAAGATAAGATTTTATAAATTTATTGGTACGCTCCACTTTTTGGAAAATTATTCTATCCATTATTATGTTTTTGTATCCGAAATTTTGTGTATAGTATCTGTGTTCTCAAATTATCGAACTCTAAAAAGTGGAAGCCTTCTTACCCATTTTGATGGAAGCTACTTTCAAATTCTTGTCAGTAGCATCAACAGAGCAATGGAGGGGCCAAACAAATTTGGAAGTTGGCTAAAACCATCACGAGCAGATGTTTGAAGCCTCCATATTCCTGCAAGTCTCTCATGTCTTCCTCCACTTTATTATCTCTTACAAAGAACTCTTCAATGGCTTCATCCTCGTGAGATAAACAATATATCACACAATTCAATGGCTTCCACCTCTTCTTCTTCTTCTTCTCATGACCATGAAAGACCGAACACTGAATCCATACAAGCAGTTGTTGCTTCAATCAACCAACACATAAATGAATTCCTCGCAGACGCCAAAACCCGGAAATCAGTAAAATCCAAATGTGGTTCAAAGCTCAAGATCCAAAAGAGAGAGTTCTTTGAATTCTCAGAGCACTCGGTACTGTCAAATCTGTACTGGGGCATAGAGAATATTGAGGCTGCAATTCAGTCAAAGCGGCCACAAGAGAAATCCCACAGGTTGAGGAATTCAGAGCAAATGCTTCAAGTTCCCGCGTTGATCAACGAGCACGGAGTCACAGCCGGAATTTCAAACCACTACTTGATTTGCTGCTCTTACTTTTATCTTTCCGTGGTTCGGAAACTCCAAGGGGATGAGTGGCAAGTCGCCTTGCATTTTTTGCAAGCTGTTTTGGTATCCCCAAGACTCGTTCAGAGACAATTTTTACCAAACCTATGCAATAGTCTGTTTCTAATGTCCATGACATCTGAAAGGGAAATGGGAGGCTTGAAATTGGCGTCTCTGATGGATTCTGATGAGGATGAGACCGGAGAGGCAATGAGGAACATGGCAAGGAGGTATAAGGCCTGCTTGACATATTATCAGGTTATGTCATACGGCGAGACGACTCGGTGGAATCCCGGATGCAGAGATATTGCTTTCGCCAATGATGAATCACAATCTTTCACGTAAGCCCTCAGTGCCTGCCATGAATTCTTCAGTTAATATTTTATTTTTCCAAAAATCGCGACTTAAAATTTAGGAGTTTGAAAGTATTTGAGATTATATAGAGTCACTGGTCTTTTAAAGTATGCCAATTGCTAAGACTAATCAGAATTGATCTTCGCAAACTCATGTCATAACAAACTACGCAGAATACCAACACAAACCAAATTAAAAACTTGACTACTCTTTCAAAAATTTGTAAAAACCTACTTCCCAGATTAATTTTGCTTTGAAGTCTGAAACAATAAATGTTTGGTTAGCCAGCAAACTTCGACCATGGTCTACAGCTTCTTTGTCTAAAAGGAAAGTAAAATCGAAAAAGTGCATAAAAGCTTATGAGCTGTGTATTGAATTTTTAGAATTGTAATCTATTCTTTGTATTTGACCAATTAACATGTCCCAAAACTGAATTACATCACGAGAGCAGATATAGCCTTAGGTAGAGAGAAAATGGCAGCGGAGAAGCTCTGAATCACCAGGGGGAGGCTTCTTTTTTATGCATGGAGAAGGTCTTCTTTTATAGGGTGGTCAAACCTTATGGGACAGCTCAACCATGCACAGAGTCCCATGTCCAAGGGCAGGTGACTCATTCCCCTTAGGAGGTTTTTCAACTACCAACTGCACCAATGATCAGACCTTGAGGGTTGCATCATGGGACCACAGTGGTAGGTATGTCAAACCTGGGAGGCTTAGAGATTGTTTCAGAGAAGCTCCAGTGGTTAAGTGCCCTTCTCAAGATACATGTCTAGGTCAAAATCTAGCCCCGACTTCTTATAGGATCTCTCTTCCGAAGACTGGTCAAGGCGCATGTCCCCTCCCACCTGAGGGAGAGGGTTGTGAGACACCTCAACGAACCCTCAACTCTAGCCTCCATGACACACCTCTCATCTAGTGATCCTGCATGGAGCCATGGGTCACTTGGTCATCTCATGGCCGAGGCAACAACCCCAATGGGGTTTCCTAGTACCTGCTCCCAACCTAGGCCGATATGGCAACATCATGGTGTACCCTTTTGAAGACCAAGTATATATCAAAGGCCAAGGTTACCACTTAGTGGTGGCTATCAAATGCCATGGATGGTTACACTTGGCCGAAGAGTTAAGTGTGTTTAAATCTTGGAGAAGGGCAAGAGGGGACCATGCTGGGGGGGTAGTGAGCGTGTCAACCACGAGGAGAAAACACGCTCAAGCAGAGTATCATTGACTGACCGGAAGGATGTTAATGATGCCTTAGGCTCAAAGCTAGGGCACCAAGTGCTAGCATAGCTCAACTCCAAAGGAGAGTACGTAGGGATGCAAAGTTGGCCAACATGTCATCTCACGGGGCTGATGTGTGGCACCATATGATGTGGAGATGCCATGGCAATGCCACGCAGCAGGACTGGATACCCATACCCACAATAGGACTCAATAGGACTCAACAAAGCATGAATTCTAAAGCACAGTCAAACTATCAAGAGGATATCATTTTGTTTCTTTATCTCCTGAACTCATGGCTTATAAAACTCAGCTGAAACTTATTTGTTCAAGCAAAAATTTGAGACATTATGACAATTTCACAAGTTCTCATCATTGTTCATTGCTTCTGAACAGGAATGGGGAGTCCAGTGGCACTGAATCTTCAAATTTACAAGAATGTGGAAACAGCTTGCAAACTGATTGCCATGTAAGCCTTGACTCACTTTCCTCTTATACACTACAGCATATCTAGCATTAAAATGTCATAATCATATCTTATGTAATCATCAAGCTTCAGGATGAAGAAAGATAAAAACTACAACATAATAATATAATTCACTTAAAGAAGCACTAGCATAGAACAACACACTCGGACACACCATGCGCAAAAACTTCCAAATAACTGACATAATTGTGGTTCAATGTTTTTAATTGAGAGTTGCCTTTTTCATAGGTCAATTTTCTCCTGTATAGTAAATTTGTTTAACTTGTGCATAACAAAAAAAAATTAATATGACATATCAATGCAGCCTGAGAAGTTGCATCCAATTGATCCTGAAGAATATATAACTCGTAACATTGCAAAAGAGTCAAAGGTATCTGATATAATGGAGTGTCAAGAACATATAGAAGCCCTAAAAATTTTTGATCAAGTTCATAGTGAGGAAGGAAGGGGAAGCTCAAATATCAAATGTCTTCAAGAACTGCTGACAGAATCCCAGTCAGACACACCGATTTCTGAGGATTCATACAATAGTGGTTCTGATGATGAGGATGAAATTGAGGTAATTTTCATTTAAAAAGACCACGGCCTTGTTTGGTTTGTCTCTTGAGAGAGAATTTTTGAGAAAAAATTTCAAAAATCTGTTTGGTTGAAAATTTTTGAAAAAAAAAAATCCAAAATCACTTTTCTCTCTATTGCACATCAATCAATCACTTTTTCTTTCTCCTCTCTCCTTCTCTCACATTCTACAGATCAACCAATCACTTTTTCTTTCACACTCATCTATTCAATTACAAAAAAAAATTAAATTAAATTATCCCAAACTCCAAAACTATTTTCAAAACGTACAACCAAAACAAATTTTCAAATTTTGTAAACTCTTTCTAGAAAATTATTTTTCAAAATTGTTTCACAAATACAAACCAAACATGGCCCACATTTCTCAGGCATTTCTTTAATTTATTATTCTTTTTTGGAGCTAATCTTACTATGATGCTCACTAATCTCCTGAATCAGGTGTATGCAGATACCAGTGAAACTTCGAAGAGAACTGTAGTAAATGCAGATGATCCACAACCAGAAATTTCTGATCAGTTTGTTCCTCATTCATAACAATATTTTGGTTTCATTTTCAGAATCTATTTTACAAAAAAACACTAAAAACTAAATTGGTGAAAAAATAACAAAGAATACAATAACACTCATCATTTTCGTATTGTTTTCTCTTTTTGTGTAAAAATAGTTTTCCAAAATTCAAAAACATTTTTTTGGTGTTTATTTTCATCAAACTATTTTTCAGAAAACAGATTCTGAAAATATTTTTGCATTCAAAGGAAATATGTTCTAAATGTGATTACATTGACACATGCAGGAAGCTGGTTTTACCTTGCTCCACGTCGGGTCAAGAGTATGCAATATCTTTACCTCAAGCTCCTAGAAATCAAGCACATGCAAAAGTGAATGAAGGATACATTACCAACTTCCTTTCAGGAAGAAGTTACAGATCATTCAGTGCTTTGGAGTTATCCATCTTTGAACTCAGAGGCATGGATTCGTGTACTCTATGGAATTGCCACATGGAAGAAGGGACAACTCGAAGGAGATTACACCAGCAAGATCTCCAAATCTTCAATCATCTAACATCAACAGCTCTGAAGAATTATCAGTTAGCCCAAATGCATCACCAAAGAAGTATTAAGAGTAGACAGAATCCATATTCCCAAAAGAACCCAAATGAAGTTTGTTTATGTACTGAGAAGGGTTCTGAAAATGAACTAATTGGAGTTCTTGAGAAAGCAATTTCAAAACTATGCTTCTCAGAAGGGTTAGGAACATGCTATGAAGATTACACTCAAGAAGTTGTAAAAATGTATGAAATGCTGAGCAACAAAAGAGGAGTTAAATACACTCTGTTAAAGGACATAATTTTGGATCAACTGCTAACAGCTATATCAACTTCCAAAGAAGTGGGAGTTATCAGGGCATCGGTTTCCATACTTTCAAGTCTCGTTTCAGGGAACAAAGCGGTTATACAAGACATGAACAAGAACGGTTTACAATTATGCGATTTAGCAAGTGCTCTAAAAAGAAACGTGCACGAGGCAGCGATTCTGATTCATTTAATAAATCCACCTCCCACAGAAATTAAGACTTTAGAACTCTTACCCACACTGGCCGAGGTTGTGTGCACTTCAAACAGTTACAAGGGTGGGCTAGCATCGCTTCTTCCGACACCTCCTGTAGCATCATTGATGATTATCGAAGTATTAGTAACTGCATTTGACTACGCTACAAATAACATGCACTTAGCTGCGATTAACTCACCACAAGTCCTCTCTGGGCTTTTGGAAGTTCCAAGAAATAATAATTTGGAAGACTTCACTTCTTTGGCCACTATTCTCGTGAGATGCATGAAATTTGATGGACAATGCAGAAAATATATAGCAAGATCTACTCCCGTGGCGCCTTTTATCTCTCTCCTAAGAAGTAATCAGGAGCGAGGCAAGTTCATCGCCCTAGAAATTTTCCATGAAATCCTCCGCATGCCACGGTATGAGAAATGCTTAAATCCTCTACTTTTCATGTTATTTGATATATAACTATAGTTACATGAGAAATGAATATAACTCATAATACTCAATAAACTTGTTATATGCATTACAAGATCTGTTCATTGTTTTTTAGGTCATCAGCTACCAATTTGTTGCAGCAGATACGAAAAGAAGGAAGCATCAACAATATGAATATATTACTGCTCCTCATCCAACAATCACAACCTCAGTACAAACTTCTGGCTGCAAATTTGTTGCTTCAATTAGACACACTGGTATATTATCTAGTTTGTAAGTCATGGTTTTATTTTTATTTTTTTCCACAGATAATTGTTGCACCTTCCATACTAACATATTGTGTGATTCTTATCAAATATGCAGCCACCATGAAAGCAACTTGAGAAAAATGTTTTTATCCAAGAAAAATCTTAAAAATTATATATTTCAAATCTATTTATCAATCTCTTTAGCTTTCCCCCTACTTAATAGAAACTCCAACCCGAGTTTATAATACATTTTTGGAAAACTCGAAATAAATCAACCAGTCCAAGTTTCTCTTCAATTGACATAGGTGTTTACAGGCATAAAGCATCAGAAACACAAGATGAATCTGTAAAGTTGATAGAAATCACAAGCTTACTTGAAATTCAAATCCATAACCGACTCTTTAAATAGGTAGGTTACAGCATACATAAACAAGTATAAGACGCACTTGTGATTCTGCTAGATGTGTGATAAAGCCAATCATGTAGAATTCTATTCAGCCTTCCACGCTACAACAATTTAGTCATGTAACTTGATGAGAAACATTTTTCAGGAAGACTCACCCGGTAAAAGTACATATAGAGAAGAGGCAGTGGAGACCCTCCTCAGGTCATTGACCTGTGAAGAGGACTCTGCTATGCAGCAATTGTCAGCATTCCTTCTATCAAACCTTGGAGGAACATATTCCTGGACAGGGGAACCATATACAGTAGCATGGTTACTGAAAAAGACAGGTTTGACCTCACCGCATTACAGAAACATGATAAGAAACTTCAACTGGTTGGATAAAAGCCTACAGGTGAGTGGTAGTAAAAAAATCAATTTGGTATAGCTTAAAACTGGGGGGAATATCAGATAAATGGGAAACGGGAAAACATTGCAAATAAATGGAGTGCAAGTGAGATATGTGCCCGGTGCAAGAAAAAACTACACAAAATGACACACTTCTGACTTGCAACCACTTGCACTCCATTGATTTGCAATTATTTTCTGGTGCAAGTGAGAATTGTGCAAAAATGGCACAATTCTCACTTACACCCACTTGCATTCCATTGATTTGCAATTATTTTACCCATTTCCCATTTGTCTGATATTCCCCCTTAAAATATCTACAGCTAAGGTTGTTTATGTACACATTATCGTTTAACTGCATGAACTTGCAGGACTCGGGTATAGACGCATGGTGCAGCAAGATTACAAGAAGTGTTACTAAAATTGGGGAGCCTGTTTTTCATGCTTTGGAGAAGGGATTGAAGAGCAGGATAAAAAAGGTTTCTCGACACTGTCTGACAGTGACTGCATGGATCGGGTGTGAAATTGCAAGAATTCCAGATGACTTGAGATGTACTGCAAGTGAAATCTTGTTAAGTGAAGTTGAGCAATTTTTGCATCCTGGCTTTGAGCTGGAAGATAGACTTTTAGCATGTCTATGCATCTATAACTATGCTTCCGGTAAAGGTAATGCCACACTGAAAGATTTCAGAATAATATATGCCACGGAGGAATACAAAGTTGATGACTAAAAAACACAAAAACAAATGTGCAAAATCATTCATGAGGATCTAGCTGGACAAGTCAAAATTAGCAGAATTCTTTTGTATATTTTTGAAATTTTGAAATTTTATACCAGGATCAAATTTTAGTATCAACATAAGACCAACTATTTACACCAACCGAGATTTTGCTAAGAGGTCTAATCTAGTTCAACAAAGATTTTGCACCAAATGATGAAATGCACACCTTAATGCCTAATAAACAAACAACGGAATGAAATCGAATGTTTTCTATCTCCTGGTGGTCCAAAGTGTCCTCTAAATTAGAAAAATGTCAAGAATTGTCATTGGAAATGAAGAAAACGTAACTCACGAGAACTTCTAGGAACTCCACATCAATTAGCAGCTCTGAAATATGCTTTTGACTTTGATTTTATATAGATTTCTTCTGTGCAGGAATGCAGAAACTACTTCACTTCTCAGAAAGGAGTAAGAGAGTCACTTAGAAGACTTTCGAAGGTAACCTGGATGGCAGAGGAATTACTTAGGGTTGCTGATTATTTCTTGCCTAACAAATGGGTGAGTCTTCTGATTATTAGATACGTGCTTCGAGTTTGAGCAACAACTCTTATCGCATAAAAAATACACCAGGTGTGATCCAGCCATGTACGAATCCTTTCAGAATTATGCCATTTCTATGGCCTCAAAGTGGCATGACAAATTATCTGCTCCGAACTGGCTCTAATTAGCAACACTTATACAGAAGTGTGGCCCTTTCTCTTATGACCAACAAGTACACACGCAGAAAATTTAGAGTCCAGACAGAGGAAACAATTATAAATAAAGTACTAGTGCATTCTAAGTAATGGCAACAACATCAACCCCTGTCCCTCATTCCACACCATCTCAAATACTAAAAAGTGAATTTTCTCTTTCAGATTCTGGCCTAAGAATAACTTTCTTCCAGAAATTTGAATACCATGAGAATGATTTATAAATAACTAGCATTGTAATTTTATTATCTACTAAATCATATATCTAACTAAGAACCAGACAAATGAAATACCAATATAGCATAAATGTAGAAAAGAACTATAGATTAGACAGGATAACTCAAAACACACCAATCAGACGCCCGCTCGAATATGATTATGGTGAATAACAATGCTTTCCTCATAAAGGTAGTAGCATAAATGCTGCCCAAAAGTTAACAATGGCAGCAATTATATCAAAATTATTTTTACTCTTTTTGGTTTTGTTTACAAGAAATATTGATAGTGCTAACAAATTCCATTTACGGTCTTGATCGTTTCATTATAATGGTAAGAGCAGCGAATTTCTTGTGTTCACACGCAAATTCTGGAGGCAACTCAAAACTACAGCGGAGCTGTAACCGCTCTCATCTACTACAGGGGACAGCTTTGCAGTGGATATGCAGATGGTTCAATTAAGGTAGCAATGCCACCTTCTGCATTATACTTAAAAGTCACTTTTATGGTTGATTGTACACCAAGAACTTAGCATTGTAACATGGTTGTGGAGGCTCCAACTGATCACATTCAGAATGGAAAAAAACAAAAAAACAAAACTGTTTTTAAGTGTGGTTGTCTGCTCTCATTAAATAGGTTTGGGACATCAAGGGCCAGACAGCCACACTTGTGTTGGACGTGAAGGAGCACAAAAGCGCCGTGACATGTTTTTCACTTTTTGAACCAGGGGAATGCTGCTTGTTGAGTGGATCAGCAGATAAAACAATTAGGGTAATTTGATAATTTCATATAGTTGATGACATTTTCCATACTTTAATTGGATGGATGAAGAAAACAGTACTATATCTGAAACTTCTCTACTTGTCCTTGGTGCAGATTTGGCAAATGATCCAAAGGAAACTGGAGTGCTTGGAAGTAATAAGAGTGAAGGTACCAATTCAAAGTTTAGATACTCACGGCCAACAGATTTTTGCAGTTACACAAAGCCACGAGATGAAGGTAAAGTTTCTGTCTTCCAGAACTTGCATTAAATATGTAGAAGGATGAAAAAAAATCCTTCAAACTAGTTTCAATATAATTTTCAGGTGTTTGAGGCATCAAGAACAACCAGAGACATTTGCAAAGATAAACACGTGCAGTGTGTACGGGTAACTAGTGGGAAGGCTTATGTAGGTTGCATGGATTCAAGCATACAGGTTGGTTTGAGGGACTTGTCTAATACCAAAGTCATGCACAAATTAAAATCATAAGTAATGTATAACTCAATTTAGGAGCTAGCTATAGCAACCAATCGGAAGCGAGAGATCAAAGCGCCATCAAAGAGTTGGAGGATGAAAAGCGGGCCCATCAATTCGATTTCCGTGTATAAAGATTGGCTATATAGTGCAAGTGCAGTAGTTGTTGAGGGGTCAAATATCAAGGTAAGGAATATAAATTGTTTACCTATGTTAAGATTTCAATGAATGATTGGAAGAAATAATGCAGGGATGGGGAAAACAGAGCAAACCACAAATGTCCATGGTGCCAGACAGAGGAACAAGTGTGCTGGCAATGGAAGTAGTTGAGGACTTCATATACTTAAACTGCAGTCCATCAACAAGCATCCTTCAGGTACTTAATGTATATATATCATGTATAAAGCATTTATTGAGATTGTGAAAGTTAAAGGTACTTGCTATTTAGCATAATAAAAACACTTATGTTGTGTTTGGTTGAGGGATTTGAGGAGGGATTTGGAAAGGGAAATGGAAAAGGTAGGTGAAATATGAATAAAACATGCCTAAATTTCACATAGTTTCACACACCTTTTCCCTTTCCCTTTCCAAATCCCTCCCCAAATCCTCTAACCAAACACACCATTAGTATAGTCCAATGAATGCACTCATCAATATAGGACTTTATGGCAAGAGTTAGGCATCAAGGCTGCACCAGCAGTGGTGGAGACAGGAATTTGGCTGAGGGCGGGCAATACTAAGGAAAATTATTGAGTTGGATTGATTTGGGACACAATGTTTAGTTTGGTTTGATTTGATAAATAAATCAATTATTAATATTTCAAAACTATTCCAATTTTATACATATCACAACAATAAAATCATAAAAAATGAAAAATACCAGTAAAATACACATAATGAATGGAAATGTTTCCTTAGATTTATTTGTGAAGAAAATAAGGAGTCAATCTATTCCTCATTCTAATCAATGGCATGTCGTGTTTATTGGAGGAAGAATGGAAAAATTAAGAGGACATATATATAATGTTTTGAGTGATATGATTTGAAAACATTTTCAAAATATTAGGCAAAAATGTATTTTTTTGAAAAGTTGAGGAGGGGCACCAGTGTCCTTGAAATGGATCATCATTAGGGATGAATAGATGATACCATTAGTTTAACCTAAATTTCTTCTATCAAGCTACATAACTTAATTGATTGATAGCCTCATCTGACTTGTAATATATTTTTTCAAGCAGATATGGTTGAGGGGGACACAGCAGAAAGTCGGGCGACTATCAGCTGGTAGCAAGATAACAAGCCTACTCACCGGAAATGACATTATTCTATGTGGTACCGAGGCGGGACTAATCAAGGTTTGTTCATTCAACTCATTTGCCTCGAGCTAGTTTATAGTAGTTTGTTTAACTGAGTAAATGGTCTGACCTCAATTCCCGGATCCTCTTTTGACAGGGCTGGATCCCCCTCTAGCAGCAGATCCCCAGTAGCCAAAGTTGTCACTGTGTCTATTTGAAGTATTATACAAAGTTTTCATTTCATTTGGTCAATCATCACATTAACTACAAATGTATATATATATATGGAAGACCGAGCAGTAACATATGATTGATAGCAATAGTCACTTTACCTTGACAGAATATCTCCATGTCTTTTGATGTAGATCATGCTTCAACGTAAAATCGTCTCTACCTTCACTATGAGATTCTAATCGAATGAATTTCATGTGAAATTTTACATTAATGAAATGGGGAACAAGAATAGCACACAAGTTTTTATAAAACTAGAAAAATGTGAAAAACTTTAACTGCAAAAGTAATCAGGTCAACAAACCCTAAATCTACAACATACATTTCATTTCGGATACTTTTTCATGTTAGATAGCCTTTTCCTTCCTGGAAAGTCCTCACATTGTATCTGTGTTCTGAATTCAGAATACTAACTGACAAACAAGAACTATAAAACAGTGCAGTTAAACACGCTACATGTTGAAACAAGAACAGTTATCAATCACCATAGTTGAGTTTATCAGAAATAAGACGATCATTAAATGATTGGGGTATTGAACATAACTGACCTAAAAAAATTACATCCGTCTACATATAATGATAATTCAATCATCGAGGGCTTTGCTGAACCTGCAATGCCTACAGTAAACAGTAACATGAGCGATTTGAGAAGTACAATGAAAAATGACTGAGAAGTATCAAGGGAAAATGATTTGAGAAGTAGTACAATGGTTGCATATATATACATGTCTACTAGCATATTACCTCTGTTTATAGCACTCCCGGACTAAATTTATATAATCATGCATTCTTTCCACAAAAAAACAAATGCATTGCATAATCCAATCCAAAAGATTGCAACCACAACATAACCCAAACCAACATCATATGCTAAGAAGCATGGATACATGACAAGACAGACAACCAGGCACGCAATTTTCAAAAAGAGCAAAAGCAAGACTAGCCGGGGACACGTGCAAAACATATAATTTTATATATTTATTATGTCATATTTTTTAATATTATATAAATGTAAAGGATCAATAGTGAAACCATTTAAATAAATTGCCCTCCCGGTGTGGACTTGTATAAAGCATGTGGTGCCACAAAATGAATGGCATGATCTCTATGTTGGTGTTTTCCGTGTGGTGCCACAAAATGCATGTGATTTGTGTATATAGTGGGGTTTGTCATTTTATTTTGATGTTTGAGGAGACAAGATGAGGGTGGAATTTGTGATTGATGTGTGTGGCATTGCCACATGGTGCCCACAGGGACTAAATAATTTTTCCACTAGAACGCCACCCTTATTTAAAGGATAGAGACTTACATGTCCCTTTTTAGAAGTTTAGCACTACTGTGTTGCTATTTTTGTTACCGAGATTCCATAAAGTTAATAAATGATTTTTAAAAGTAACATAGATTCTATTTACGCTAATGATGAGAGAAAAAGATGAAATCCTTCAAAAGAGAAAGCCTGATATCAAAAGCGAGAAAAGAAAAAAAAAGACAAAAATGTACCTCATGGTATTACCTTCTCCTTTTCAGTTTGCAGTTTTCCGCAATAGCAGCTACTAAATTTCATGCTAAAAGTAACAAATCAAGGAACACCATCTTAAAAAGTCCAAATTGAAGACAGAGAAAGCAAAACAAAACAACAAAACTCTCATAAAAATTTACCTTCTCTTATCAGTAAAACAAAACTCAACTCAATTACACTAAACGATGGTACTACGTTCTGTTCAGCTCAAAAAAAGATCAACTCCTATTCTTTTACTCTACTTTCTCTGCCTCCAAAGTTTAAATGCAAGAATAATTTGTTCTAACAGCATTAACAAACTATATGCACAAGAAGTAATTACATCTAACAAACTATTCTAAGCATATTAATTAATCAAGTGAAAAAATGTAATAAAGTTCTCACCATTTGAAACAATTTTACCAATCAATGAAACTTGCCTATGTTCTAACAGCATCAACAAACTGTGTTCTATTTTGACAGCATTAACAAATAATAAATTAATGCCAACCATACAAAGGGGAACTCATTCAGAGATTCAATATCAACAGAAAATGGGTGAACGCCTATGAAATACAGGTATTTCAAAAATGTTGCCGTACTCGTACCGGGTATTGATACTCTTACCAATAGAGCTGCATGGGTACTGGGTACTCGAAATACGTACCAGGTACTTTTTATACATTCTTTGCTCCATGGGTACGGGATTGGTACATCGAGAATACATCAAGAGACATTAGTGGAGATACGTTTAATTTATTAGAAAGATCTGATTTACTTGAAATTGCAAATCCCTTATTTGATGTGTCAGAGATAAAAAGGTGTATTATTCAATGATGAAATTGATTGAAGTGAAAACTGAAATTTTAAATTTTCAAATTTCACTTGGCTTGCTTTTGGAATGAAACTTTATTTTGTAATTTCTCCTGTATAATGGCATTAAAACAGCTTATAGACTTTGCTTTGGCATTAGTATTGTTGAATTATAATTTCTCTTTTGGTTTTGTAGTTTCTCCTTTTAATTTTGGTATTGAACTTTAATTTGTAGATTGAATCTCAAACTATAAATTATAAAAAATAAAAAATAAAAAAATTATTGACGTACCTCAGTCGTACCCGTATCTTATTTTTTTTAGGTTTTACGTATTGACATGCCTGTATCGTACCCGTATCATAGGTGAACACAGAGATTTCAATGCCTGTGAGCATAATCATATGCATGCAAAACCATCACATACACAACCAAAGGCAGAGTAATAGGAAAAAATTCAACACCATAAATAAGATGATTTCAATTCACCGAAGTGAATACACCTACGTATACCTCCCCTTACGTCCCAATTAGATAAATGAACCCCAAGTCACACCACATCAGTACAGCATTGAAATTTGCTAGACCATGTGAAGAAACAAACTTTGAAATAATTAATACTACTAAATTATATGTAAAATTGTCTTGAAATGGAAAAAATAATCTTACTATTTTGTGCCAAAAACAAAGATGGGAATTGAAGAAACCCTCACTCTCTTGCCCTTGCTGTAGTACATCCAAATCCCTTTTTTTTTTCGCTTAAACCCAACTGCACACAACACAACCACCACTCTCCTTACTCTATTGTACAACTACTACCCCCTCTCTTTCGCTTCCCCTAACCGAACAACCAAGTAACCAAATTAGAAAATTCATATGACATATAATTAAAGAAAATGAGAAATTGGGAGACAGGTACCTATATATAAATTTCAATACTATTAATTTAAATGAAAAAAATTGAGAAAATGAAAAAAAAAATAAAGAAAAATTAATTAAAAACTAAATCTATAATTTTCATTGCAAGAAAATCTGTATTGGTTTGGGATGGCCTAAAAAAGTGCACTTTTTGACTTATTGGTGGGTTTGGGTTGGGTTTGGGTTGGGTTTGATGTGATGTGTTAGAGAGGTGATGTGATTTAAATAAGATGATGTGTCTTAAATAAGATAGTGACTTTTTGACTTTTTAACTTATTTAGTACATGCCAAACTATGGAGGCTGCGAGAAAGAGATGTCCGTTTCTTCAACCTCAAGCATTGAGATCCAAAAGTTATGAACTCTTTTCTCAGGATTTCTTGACAAACATACAAACCAAGAGACAAAGAAAAATCAAATAATAAATAATATACTTATCAAAAGATAACTAAACAAATTGGGAAAATTATCAAATAATAAAGAAAATATTAAACAAATAATAGTAAGACAATATTAAGAACTATGTAAGTTTAATACTAGTAATTTAAATGGAAAAACAAAACAAATTATAGAAAAGCTAATTACAAAAAAAAAAAAAATTATAATTTTGATTGCAAAGAAGTCTAAGGGAGAAAACTTAGTTTCAATGGAGGTTGTGAGAAAGAGATATCCCTTTTTTTTAGCCTCAAGCATTGAGATCCAAAAGTTATGAGCTATTTCCTCAGGATTTCTTGGCAAACAAATAAACCAAAAGACAAAGAAAAAACAAACAATAAATTATATATTTATCATAAGATAATCAAACAAATTGAAAAAGTTTATCAAAGAATAAATAAAATGTTAACAAAGAATTGTAAAAGAATAATAAGAACTACGAATCAAGCATTATAAAGAGGTAACCAAATTATAAAACCATCACTAATAAATTTGCAACAATTTATATGTCATATAATTAAGGAAAAGGAAAAATTGGAAGAAAGACACCTATATGAATTTCAATACTATCAATTTAAATGGAATATATATATATATATTTGGGGAAATGAAACAAAATATGAAAAAATTAATTAGAAGTAGACTATAATTTTGCTTGCAAAGAAATCTAAGAGAGAAACTCAGTCTCAATGGAGACTTCGAGAGAGAGATGTGCGTTGCTTTTAACATCACGCATTGAGATCCACAAATTATGAATTATCTTCTCAGGATTTCTTGGCAAACAAACAAACCAAAAAATAAAGGAAAACCAAGTAATAAATAATACATTTATTGAAAGATAACCAAACAAATTGAGAAAATTTATCAAAGAATAAATAAAATATTAAACCAAAATTTGTAAGACAATAATAAGAAGTATGAAATCAAGCAATATAAAAAGAACGACCACGTAACCAAATCATACAACCATCACTAATAAAATTGCAATAGTTCATATGTCATATGTGATAAAGCGCCTATTATTTGATAAATTTTCTCACATGGCACACAATAAAAGAATAAATAAATTATTAAACAAATTATATGTGACATATGTCATAGATAACCAAACAAATTGACAAAGGTAGCACCTATTCTTTGATAAATTTTCTCATATGTCATATAATTTGACATTGCACTCTCCTCCCCTCTCTCTCTATCTCTCTCTTTCTCTCTCTGTGGCTGGCTAGAAGCATCACTGCAGTTAGCAGCTTTGCTAGCATCTGACCCCCTTAAAACTTCAACTAACGGCTCCATTGGAGCTAGAGACAATGAACTCACTAGCTAGACTAGGTAGTGGCTGACGCTAACATTGGCTGAGGCACATAGGGTCCGGGGGGGCACGTGCCCCGATTTTAGAATAATTTTTTTTATTTTAAATATAAAAAAATATTTTAAATAAAAAAATTATAAAACATTATTTAGAGTGATATATCAATGACATTTTTAAAATTATGAGAATAATAATGATTGTTTTTTTATT